GGGTAGAATATTTTAACTCAACCGTTGGGTTATAACAGGTCAACCCAACTTGCTGGGTCAAATTAACTACTGCTGGGCTGGTGCTATACTGACCCAGCAGTTGGGCCAAAAATAACCCATATTGGGTTATTTTTAGCCCAACTGTTTTTAGTGTGTAAAATACTCATTAAAAAAAACAACAAAATCAAACTATAAAACTTAAAAAAAATCAGCTGGGGAAGGCGATCCTGAAGAGGCGAGTCTTTAAGCTGGCGTTACAAAAAGAGGAAGAGAATCCAAATTCCTTATTTCAGAGGGCAGTGAGTTCCAGAGCCAAGGAACAGAGCAGGGAACAGTCAGCTTTGGATAATGCTAACGTTGTACCAATACGTAAAGATTCAGTTTTATCACTGTTGAGCTAAAAAAGTTAGAAGAAAACCAGGATTTGAGTTCATTAATACAGTTAGAAAGAGAGGAGGGTGGTAGAGCAACAWATGGTTTACTAGAGAGGTAGAGCTGGGTGTCATCCGCGTAGAAGTGGAGGCGAATATTGTATTTAAGTAAAATGTTGCCAATGGGGAGGTGGTAAATGATGAAGGGGCCCCAGGACAGAGCCCTGGGGCACACCATTGGTTAGAGGGTATGATTTGGAAACAAAGGATTGGAGTTGGACAAACTGAGGTCGACCAGGAAGATAAGATTTAAAAAAAAAACTTCCATCATAAATATTTCGCACATCACTGCTGAATTAGTTTCACATTCAGACGCAATCTGAGGGGATTCTTTGCTTCCAGGTTTGACTGGATCTTGTTTTTCCTGTATTGTTGGAAGAATGCGATGCAGCCAGGAAAACCCATCTGAGCTGTAATATAAAACGGGAGGAAATCATGTGGAGACAAATTTATAAAAGCACAGCATTCCAGAATCAAATCTGGGGTCTGGGTTTTTACACCAGCAGACAAAACACAGGATTGATTCTGGTTTGTCTGGGGTCTTTGTGCTCTTTTTTTACGAGCTGTTTGAAAAGGTCCACAGCTGAGTCAGTTCACAGGGACAAAAGATGCTTTGAAATACAGCCTCTTGCTCTTTCTGGTCAGTCAGAGTCTCAACAAAGAGCAATGATCTGAGGGCAGGAGGTAAAACCTGAGCCGGTTCACCACATCCTGCTGCTTTTTAACCCCAGCATGACTCCCAGACAGAGACTGGTCCACCCTGAAGACAAAACCGGAGAAACCACAGAGGAGCAGCTCTTCAGCTGCACCTGCAGGATATGAGACTCCATGCTGAGTGTTTGTGTTTTAAAGGGATCCACGATTAGTTGTAACATTAAACTTTATTTGATAAACATATATTTTAACTGTAAAATAAAGACTGTAAAAATACTGTAGGCTGTTTAGTTTTTATAATTTTTTAAAAGATATTTTAACACGGATGGAGCCATTTTATTTACACGCAAAGCATTCTGGGTAAATGATGACATCAACTAGGTCATAAGTGC